TAGAAGTTGTTTCCAGAAGTATTTTAAAAGACTATATACTCAAGGGCCAGTGAAAGAAACAGATTTAGACCAATTTTTGAAAACAAATGGATTACAAAAATATCTCAAGAAAAGAGACTAATTTTGAATGACAGAATAACTGAACAGGAAATAGAAGGTGCCATTCAAAATATGCAACTGGGTAAATCTCCAGGACCAGACGGCTTGACCTCTACATACTATAGATCTTTAAAAGAATGGTTAATTCAACCATTGAAAGAGGTCTGCAACGAAATTATGGAGGGGAAGAGGGCACCAGAGTCGTGGAAAGAAGCGTATATTACACTTGTACCAAAAACAGAGACTGAAAAGACACAACTTAAGAACTACCGCCCTATATCATTACTTAATGTGGATTATAAAATTTTTGCAGATATTTTGGCGAAGAGATTTAAGAAGGTGCTGTTGGAAGAGATTCATAAAGACCAAGCGGGCTTTCTCCCAGGAAGACATTTGTCTGATAATTTGAGGAATATAATTGATATTCTGGAAAAACTAGAAGTGAATATTAACACTAAAGCAGTATTGATATTTGTAGACGCAGAGAAAGCCTTTGACAATATTTCTTGGAATTTTATGAAGAAGAATCTACAGGGTATGGGGGTAGGCCAAGGTTTTGAGAATGGTATAAGTGCAATTTATTCAGAACAAAAGGCTAAACTAATTGTAAATAATGTTGTTACAGAAGAACTTAAAATTGAAAAAGGGACACGACAAGGTTGCCCAATTTCCCCACTTCTTTTATTTCGGTCCTGGAGGTTCTGCTGAATATGATCAGAAGGGACCAGATGGTTAAAGGTATACAGGTCGGAATTAAACATTATAAATTGAGAGCATTCGCAGATGACTTAGTATTGACGTTACAGGAGCCAGAATCTAGTACAAAAAGGGTTTTAGAACTGATTCAAGAATTTGGTCAAGTGGCAGGATTTAAATTGAACAAATCAAAAACCAAGGTTTTAGAGAAAAATTTAACACCGTTTGAAAGAGAGAGGTTTCAGAATGAGACAGGTTTAACAGTGGTCAAGAAAGTTAAATACCTGGGGATTAACATGACAGCAAAAATGGGAATCTATTTAAAGATAATTATGAAAAATGTTGGTCAGAAGTGAAAAAAGATTTAGAAATTTGGTCAAATTTGAAGCTTTCACTGCTAGGCCGTATTGCAGCGATAAAGATGAATGTATTGCCTAGAATGTTGTTCTTGTTTCAAACTTTGCAGATTGTGGACAAAATGGATTGTTTCAAGAGGTGGCAGAAAGATATCTCTAAATTTGTCTGGCAGGGCAAGAAGCCTAGAATAAAATTTAAAATACTAACAGATGCAAAGGAAAGAGGTGGATTTGCCCTGCCAGACCTTAAACTTTATTATGAATCAGCAGCCTTTTGCTGGTTGAAAGAATGGCTACTTCTTGAAAACACTGACATTTTGGACTTGGAAGGTTTCAATAATGTATTTGGATGGCATGCATATCTATGGTATGATAAGGTCAAAGCACATAAAGCATTTAAAAATCACATTGTCAGGAAAGCGCTATTCAATGTTTGGTTAAGATATAAGGATTTGTTAGAAAACAAAACCCCAAGGTGGCTGTCACCAATGGAAGCGAAAGCCTTGAAAAAGGTCAATATGGAGGTCAAATGGCCGAAATATTGGGAAATTTTGGAACAAGACGGAGATAGACTGAAATTGCAGAGTTTTGAAAAACTAAAAACAAAGTGCGAGACTGGCTTCATTATTATCAGATAATGGAGGCATTTAAATTGGACAGGAAAATTGGCTTCCAGGTGGAAAGATCCAAATTAGAAACAGAATTGTTAGAACCCAAAACTAAGAATTTGTCAAGAATGTATAACTTGCTGCTGAAATGGAATACTCAAGATGAAACGGTAAAATCGGCTATGATTAAATGGGCACAGGACGTTGGACATAACATTATGTTTGCTGACTGGGAACAGTTATGGACCACAGGTATGAAATTTACGGCATGTAATGCCTTAAGAGAGAATATTATGAAAATGATATACAGGTGGTACATAACCCCAGTCAAGCTTGCGAAAATCTATCACTTGCCCGATAACAAATGTTGGAAATGTAAAGAAACTGAAGGTACATTTTTCACCTTTGGTGGACGTGCCCAAAGATTAAGGCTTTCTGGGAAAAGATATATAATGAATTAAAAAGGTATTTAAGTATACCTTTCCTAAGAAACCAGAGGCCTTTCTCCTGGGCATAGTGGGCCAAATGGTGTTAAAAAGGATAGAACTTTCTTTATGTATGCAACAACAGCAGCAAGAATACTCATCGCAAAGTATTGGAAGACACAAGAACTTCCCACGCTGGAGGAATGGCAGATGAAACTTATGGACTATATGGAATTGGCGGAAATGACTGGCAGAATCCGTGACCAGGGAGAAGAGTCGGTGGAGGAAGACTGGAAGAAATTCAAAGACTATCTTCAGAAACACTGCAAAATTAAGGAATGTTAGAATGATGTTGGATTGAAAATAAGTGGTTTCCAGCTGTACAGGTTAAAGTTAAGGATAGATTAAGATTAAAGATCAAGATTAAAGATGTTTAAAGAAATGGAAATTTGATAATAAAAGGGAAAAATTTAAAGTATATAACATTAAGAACAAGGATTAGGCTTAAAAAAGTTGAAGTTATATATTTTAATATTTTATTAAACTAAAGATTGGGTTTAAAAAAGTGGAAAAGAAACTGCTGGACAAATAATGTAGATTGGAATACAAAAGAGGGAGGTATGAGGAAGTCCAGAAAATAAGTAATTTAAAATTGGGAATGGAAAAGAGAGTTGGTTTTTAATTGTTATGTTTTGTGTTTTTATTGTTAAATTTTGTATTGTTTTTTTCTGTGTGTTGTTTTTCTTTTTTCTTTGTTTAAAACTTTAATAAAAATTATTTAAAAAAAAAAAAAATCACAGGCGGGTGAAGCCCGTGAACGTGGGATTCGGCGGGCACCATCAGCGCCTTCCCTACTCGCGGGGAAACCCGTTTTCAGGGATCCGTAGCGAAGTGGGGTGAGTGGCGCGGTGCTTTGAATCGACTGCTACCTCCATGGAGTGAAGCCGCACAGCCGTTGCCGGAGAGTGCTGACTTTTTCCTGTTGACAATTGGATCTAAAAGTAATTACCCGTGAGTAAAGCGAAGTATTGGAGTTTCAAAAGTCGAATTTGGCAACGAACAGGGGGAGGTTTAAAACAGGAAGTCCGCCTCCCTTCTTTGTAAATAGTCGGAAGCAAATAGGCTTAAGCTAAAGCCTTGGAAAGTTTATTTTAAACGTCTAAATTACCAGCACTAAAAATAGCAAACCCCCCTTTGGAAGCAGGAGAAGGGGGGGAGTTTTTGGACAATATTTGCCTGCTAAAAGAGAGGGAAAGAAGCTAAATTTCCATCGCTCAGAACCTGGGAACGGGATACCATTAAGACTGTTGTATTCTGGAGTTCTGCATAGACTGTGGCTCTTTGACAGCCAGTGAAACAAGAGTGATACATTGTTTCAACTACCCTCTTCTGACTCAAAAGGGACTAAAAGGAGTAAAAGAAACTGAGTAATAATAGCTGAGACATGATACTAAATATACTGGTGTAATTGTGGTCTGGAAAAAAGTGACATTTTGGATTAATATAATATAAATAGTAACTATTTCCCTCTAGAGGAGGACTTTGAAATTGCTACAAGGTTTGGAATTTTCCAACTCCAAAGATAAGACTTTGGGACTGTGAAATTGACCTTGAAAGGCTTAAGTGTTATGGCAGATGGAAAAGAAAAAATAGATCCGCCAATCCAAGACAAAACAACAAGGTCTGGGAAGATTTGGCGAAGAGCTTCTACATCCGGCCCTCCTGCTTCTTCTGTGGCCGTATTAACTAAACCAAAAGGAATGATTTCAGAAGAGGCCCTGGCACTTGCCTTGAGCAAAATAAATGAATCACTGGAACAAATGAACAAAAAATTGGATCAGAATACACAAAGTATAAATCAGAATACACAAAGTATAAATAGTTTGGGACAAAAAGTTAATTCAAATACAGAAGCTATTGAGAAATTGATCCAGGAACCAGAGGCCTTTCTCCTGGGCATGGTAGGCCAATTGGTGCCAAAGAAAGATAGAACTTTCTTTATGTACGCTACAGCAGCAGCAAGAATACTCATTGCGAAATACTGGAAGACACAAGATCTACCTACCAGGGAAGAATGGCAGATGAAGTTGATGGACTATATGGAACTGGCGGAAATGACTGGCAGAATCCGAGACCAGGGAGAAGAGTCGGTGGAAGAAGATTGGAAAAAAATTAAAGTATACTTACAGAAACATTGTAAAATTAATGAGTGTTAGAAGGATGCTGGAATGAAGCTATATGGTTTTAGTAGAAATGCAACAAAGAATTACCGTATTTTTCGCTCCATTGGACGCACCCGACCATAGGGCGCATCTAGTTTTTAGAGGAGGAAAACAAGGAAAAAATATTCTGAATCAAATGTTGTATAAACTACTGTATTTAATAAACAACCCATATATCAGAATCACATTACAGCCATGTAAAGTGAACAGCAGTCAACAATGGCATTAAGAACCATCATCACTGTCATTAACAAATGAAGAGAGACTTTAAGGTTTGAGTACTCTTCTAGTCTTCTGGGAACCCCAAGAACTCATCACTGCTAAAGTCAGAATTTATGAAGCTCAGTTGCTCACAGTCACTGACATCACTTTCTTCGCTATCTTCATGTAAAATACCATCTTCATATCCATCCAAAGCATTGCTAATGCCACATTTTCCCCTCTCAATCCTCTTTCTCCCCTCTCTCAGCGAACAGCCTGCCAGCTTCTCACAAACATTCCCTTTACTTGAATTACAGTCAAGAAACAGCCAAGCAGAGCTTCTCAGCGACAGGCTTGGGAGGCTTTCCTTTTCCCCACTTTTTTCTCCACCCCCCCCCAAGCAGAACAGTCCCCTTTTCCAGCCTCCTCCTCTCCATTCCTTTCACCCAAACTCCTCAGGTGATGTCTACAATTTCTCCCCTTCACTGCTCCCTCTCCTTTGCCCTCTACCATGACTCTCCACTCACGGCAACCTATGGTACCTCATCTCCCTTCACCCAGCTTCTTGGTCCCCCTCCTCTCCGTCCTCTTCCTCCCCTCTCTCAGTGAACAGCCTGCCCACTGCTCCAAACCTTGAGGGGAAGGGCAGGCTGTTGGCAGAGCAGCACCCCCCACCCCCATTCAGCAGCCCAGGAGTGTGGGGCATGGGCGCACAGCCTGCCCACTGCTCCAAACCTTGAGGGGAAGGGCAGGCTGCTGGCAGAGCACCCCCCCACCCCCATTCAGCAGCCCAGGAGTGTGGGGCATGGGCGCACAGCCTGCCCACTGCTCCAAACCTTGAGGGGAAGGGCAGGCTGCTGGCAGAGCAGCACCCCCACCCCCATTCAGCAGCCCAGGAGTGTGGGGCATGGGCGCACAGCCTGCCCACTGCTCCAAACCTTGAGGGGAAGGGCAGGCTGTTGGCAGAGCACCCCCCCACCCCCATTCAGCAGCCCAGGAGTGTGGGGCATGGGCGCACAGCCTGCCCACTGCTCCAAACCTTGAGGGGAAGGGCAGGCTGCTGGCAGAGCAGCACCCCCCAACCCCATTCAGCAGCCCTGGAGCGTGGGGCATGGGCGCACAGGCTTCCCGTTGCTCCAAAGCTTCACGGAGCTGCAGAGGGAAGCCGAGGCTGCCAGCGGACGAGCAAGGCTCTCCCCACCTCCCCCATTCAACAGCCCAGAAGCGCGGGGGATGAGCGCACAGCCCTCCCGTTGCTCCAAAGCTTCCCGGGGCTGCAGGGGGAAGCCGAGGCTGCTGGCAGGGGAGCGCGGCTCCACCACCACTACCAAAGACCAGTCCAAGAGTGTGCCGCACTCCGGCAATTTGGCTCCAGGGACCACACATTCGCTCCATAGGACGCACAGACATTTCCCCTTACTTTTTAAGAGTAAAAAAGTGCGTCCAATGGTGCGAAAAATACGGTAAGTAAAAGTTGATTGACATTGGGTTAAATTGAAAAAATTTAAGGTTAGATCGTTAAAACTATAGAATCAAAATTGAGAAAGATGGGAAGAACTTGCTGAAATAGTGAATTGAACTAGAATACAAAAAAAGGGAGGTGTGAGGAGGTCGATGAAATAAGTTAAGGAAAGGTAAAGATATGGAATACTAGATGTGTTTTTTAGTTTCTTTTTTTGGTCTGTTTTTTGTTGTACTATTGTATGGTTTTTATATGTTTTATGTGTTTTGTTATTGTTTTTTTCTACTTTATTGTTATTTCTTTTTTTCTTCTGTGATTCTTAAACTTTTAATAAATATCATTTAAAAAAAAGAGAGAGAAATTGATACAGGAGTCTAATGCAACTCGACAGATCGCAGAGGAAGTTAAGGAAAAGGTTGTTGCTGTGGAAGCGAAGGTAACCCAGCTGGAAACAGAGAGAGTCCCAGACCTTCAGAAACAACGTGAGGACCATAGGTTGGCGCTTTCTATGATTGAGCTTCAGGAAAAACAGACAAACCTGAGGATTTGAGCTGTACCTGAACTGGAAAAAGATTCTCTGATAGATTATCTTACGGAGGAATTCGCAGATCATTGGGACTTGGATTTGGAAAAAGAGGAATTTAGAATTGTGAGGGCCTTTAGACTGGGAAGAGGAGGGAAGAAGGAGAAGAACAGAATAAGAGATTGTTTGATTACCCTCCGATCTAAAGAAGAGAGAGATAAAATTTTGGGCTGGCATTACGAGAAGACTTTGGTAATACATCAATCAAGAGTGGAAATTTTCAAAGATATCCCAAAACATCTTCTGGACCTTAGGTCCAACTTTGGAGATTTGGTTGCCCTGCTGAGAAGGAACAAAATCATTTTTAGGTGGGAATTTCCTCAAGGCCTATCTTTCAGTTTCAAAGGAAGGAAAATAAAAATAAGATCAGTAGAAGATAAAATAAAGTTTCTGTTTAAATACGAAGAAGACCTACAGAAGGGAATTGGAAAAGAGCCAACAGCATTGGACAGAAGATCACCAGATACAGGATCAGAGCAAAGAGCATTGGAGAGAAGATCACCAAACAGGGAAACATTGAACATAACGACATTATCTTTTGGATTGGACCCCCCAGCGAACGTGCCAACACTACCACCAACAGAAGAGGAGCAAGCTTTGGGGGCAGTTGGGGGGGCACCAAAGTAACCACATGATGGCGTTGCAGGTTTTGAGTTGGAATGTGAATGGACTGAACAGCCCTGAAAAAAGGCGGAGAGTATTTCATTTATTGAAAAAAGAGCATTTGGACTTGATTTGTCTACAAGAAACACATGTGACAAGGTTACACAGGAAGTTATTGAATAATAAAAGATTAGGCCAAGAATTTATGTCCTCGGATAAAGTAAAAAAAAGAGGAGTGGTCCTCTATGCAAAGGAGATATTAACACCAAAATTTATATTCAAAGATGATCAAGGAAGATTTGTAGCAATTGAAATTCAAACGCAAGGAGAAAAATTTTTGATAATAGGTATTTACGCACCAAATGAAGGAAAATCGAAATTTTTTAAGAAGTTACATGAGACTTTGATGGACTATATGGATTACAATATGATTTTGATGGGAGATATGAGTGGCGTTGTGTCTACAAATATGGACAAGGCACAAAGACAGATAGTAACTACCAAGTTTGGAAGACTACCAAAAACTTTCTTTGATATGACTGAAAATATGGACTTAGTTGATATCTGGAGAACGAAGAACCCTCTGGGAAGAGAAGGAACTTTCTTCTCCGAGGCTAAAATGACATGGACAAGAATTGACCAAATTTGGGTAACCAGAGGACTGGCTCTGAAGACTAGTAAAGCTGAAATTTGCCCCAAGACCTGCTCCGATCATAATGCTGTGAAGATGGAAATGAAATTGATGCCAATTGGTTCCTTTAGATGGAGGATGAATGATACTTTGTTTAGGAATGAAGAATTTGTTAAGAAGGCCCAAAAAACTTTGAGAGACTACTTTGAGATAAATATGAACACTACTGTGGAAAAAAGAGTAATCTGGGATGCAAGTAAAGCTGTCATGAGAGGATTTTTGATACAACAGAATGCAATTAAGAAGAGAATGCAAAATGAGAAAAAAGACAAAATCTTGGAAAAAATAAAGGAAGGGGAGAAGAAATTGAGGGTGAAACAAAAGTCCAAGGAGATTTTGAAAGAGATAAAGTTATATCAAGTACAATACATGAAAATGATGAATCAGGAAATAGAATGGAAGATTAAACAGATGAGACAAAAGACATTTGAATCGGCAAATAAGTGTGGTAAATTGTTGGCTTGGCAAATGAAAAAAGACAAAACTTAATACCATTACGAATTTGGAAGTAGAAGAAAAGAACATACAGAATCCAGTGGAAATTAGAAAGTGCTTCCAGAGGTATTTTAAACAACTTTATACACAGGAGAAGCAGAAAGAAATGGATATTGACAAATTTTTGAAAATGAATGGATTACAAAAAAATTCTCAAGAAAATAAATTAATGCTGAACTACAAAATAACGGAACAGGAAGTAGAAGGGGCCATTCAGAATATGCAACCAGGTAAATCTCCAGGACCTGACGGACTGACTTCAAGATATTACAGATCTTTGAAAGAATGGTTAATACAACCTTTAAAGGAAGTTTGTAATGAAATACTGGAAGGGAAAAGGGCACCAGAGTCATGGAAGGAAGCTTACATCACACTTATACCGAAAACAGAGACTGAAAAGACACAACTCAAGAACTACCGCCCCATATCATTGCTTAATGTGGATTATAAAATTTTTGCAGATATTTTGGCTAAAAGATTAAAAAAGGTGTTAACAGAAGAAATTCATAAAGATCAAGCGGGCTTTGTTCCGGGTAGACACCTGTCTGACAATACGAGGAATATAATTAATATTTTAGAAAAATTACAAGTGAAGATTAATACCAAAGCAGTTTTGATATTTGTGGACGCGGAGAAAGCTTTTGACAATATTTCCTGGAGTTTTATGAAGAAGAATTTATTGGGGATGGGGGTGGGTCAAGGTTTTGGAAACGGTATAGGTGCAATTTATTCAGAACAGAAGGCCAAATTAATTGTGAACAATGTAGTGACGGAAGAATTTAAGATTGAGAAAGGAACACAACAAGGTTGCCCAATCTCTCCATTGCTTTTTATATCGGTCTTGGAGGTTTTGTTAAATATGATTAGAAGGGACCAATTGGTAAAAGGTATACAAGTGGGAGCCAAACAGTACAAATTGAAAGCTTTTGCTGATGATTTAGTATTGACTTTACAGGAGCCAGAATCCAGCACTAAAAGAGTATTAGAACTAATTCAAGAATTTGGTCAGGTAGCAGGTTTTAAGTTGAATAAGACGAAAACTAAGGTTTTAGAGAAGAATCTAACAGAGATTGAGAGAGATAAGTTTCAGAAGGAGACAGGACTGACACTGGCTAAGAAAGTGAAATATTTAGGGGTTAACATGACTGCTAAGAATGTGAATTTATTCAAGGATAACTATGGAAAATGTTGGACGGTGTTGGGTTGAAATCACGACAGACGAATGGTGGGTGTCAAAGGAGAGGTGTCTGCCCGGGGCAAGTCCCGGGAACTCTCTTTTATTGAATATTACAAACATTGCCACAGGTGTGCTTGTGGCTGATTGGCTGATACAAACACAAAGCATCTTGTTGCTGATTGGTTAACATAGGTACAAGGCGGGCATTACATTTTACATTAATCAGTGATAGTTCAAAAGACTGGGAACGGAGCTGGAACTAGACAGGCATGAATCCTCCTAATTAAATTGTAACTAAGATTAATATTGAGAGAACATAACATGAAGGAATACAACAATCACGTCCCGTAAATGTGGTCAGCAATGCATTAAGAACAGGTCAGGATACACTGTTTCATGAACTCAATGGGAACTGTTCAGAACATTCTCAGACTTATGTGCAGAGGCAAAAACTTCCCAGAATGTAAGAGAGAAAAGAAGCAATAGTGCTCATAGTAAGCATAGAAAGATTTCATAGTAAGACTTCCCACAATGCAACAGTTATGTGCAGTAAGAGAACTGCAGAAAGAGAACTTCACAGTGAGAGAACTGCAGAAAGAAAACTTCCCTTCAGGACGGAAGTGAAAAAAGATTTAGAAATATGGTCAAATTTGAAGCTATCGTTGTTAGGCTGAATTGCTGTGATAAAAATGAATGTATTGCCAAGAATGCTGTTTTTGTTTCAAACACTGCAAATTTTGGACAAAATGGACTGTTTCAAGAAGTGGCAGAGAGATATCTCCAGATTTGTCTGGCAGGGCAAGAAGCCTCGTATAAAATTTAAGATATTAACTGATGCTAAAGAAAGAGGTGGATTTGCCCTGCCAGACTTAAAACTTTATTATGAATCAGCTGCTTTTTGTTGGCTGAGAGAATGGATGCTTCTTGAAAACACGGATGTTTTGGATTTGGAAGGTTTCAATAATGTATTTGGTTGGCATGCATATTTTGTTAGGATATTTCCGTTCCACCTTAAAAGGGAGCAGGCTTTGTGAGTCAGAGTCTGCGCATGTCCTGTTCACAGGATGTTTATGTTTTCTGTTGCTTTTCGTTTCTCTCTCTGTGTCGGAGACACTGACGCAGGCAGTCATGTCTTTCTTTGTTCTGATCAACGCTGAATAAAACT